GTTCAATATAATACAAAACTAAGTCGGTTAAATAAGCTTAGACAAGACTGCTCGTATCAGGGGCGAAGCCCTGAATGTTCCGACTGCCTTTTAATGTTTAATAAAATGTAATAAAAATGAAAAAAAAAATCTAAAATTTGAATTTTTTATGAAAATCATCCCCCCACAACGCCATATAAAGTACCAAAGGATTGATTTCGTTCCTTGTAACAAATCAATTATGGCAAATAAGCTTCCTTCAACCAATTTGGAATGATTTCTAAGACGGATTAAAACTCCGCTTACGCGTTAATAGCGCGAATTATATCGCGCGTTAATTTGTGTCAAATTGGTCAAAATGGCCAAAAATGGCAATCTTTAAACCCTCATAACTTTACAAAAAAGGATCACAGGTGAAATATCTTTTCAATTTTAAGCTCAGGACAACAATACCTTTTGAATGATATAAAAAAAAATTCGTCAAAAATGGCTAGTTAAAAGTCGAAATTTGTCTGAAGAAAAAAAAAACCCACCCCGAGCACAAATATTCCGTTACTTTCGTATCGAAAGTCGGAACAATAATCGAAACCTATTACCACGAAAATTTTTACCGGCACAACTTCAGTGTTAAATCAATGGGTTTTGTAAGTATCTCCCGTCCCTTTGTCACAGTATAAGTATTACCCCTATTTATAAAAAGTTTTACAGCTGTGTCTTTACTCGAATGTTGAGCCTTGTAACGACTTCCCCGACATTTATCAAAGATGCTGTTAATAGTTAAGGAGATCCAAAAAAAATTGATTAAACTTATGACGTTACAAGTTTAGGGTAGGCTGAACGAATTTACCAAATGATACTGCCACATTTGGTGACATACCTACAAGTAACAATTCATGGAACAACGAATACTTTATCTTAGGCGAGGATTTTTAGTTCGAAAAATGAGTGAATTGCCATTGTCTGAGTCATCTTTTGTCTGAGATGTCTGAATTCAATGATGAATATATTGCCTTGACAAAAATACCTTGATTAGCAATAGATTAAACAAAATAAGTAAAACAGAGGACTCATGTTTGGTATTTGGGTAAATTGGCAGCTGAAGCGACAAAATTACTGCCTAATACAGTTTGACTTACACAAAAAATGTATAACAAAAGTTAAATTTTTAATAAATTTGCAGCTTATCTTCACCACCTTTCCTTTTATTTGAGCTTTTTATATCTTCAGCATCCAAAAAGCGTCCAAATTTATTATTTCAGTTCCCTGTAGACTCAATTTAATACCCACGCCCGTCTCCGTTGTGAATCCGATCGTTAATGATGGTTGCAATTTTAACATACTGCCTAAAGTAAGTACTGCGAGCCACTAATGGTAAAATGTATTAAGGTTATAAAAGTTGAAACAGTCTTAAAAGGTACGAATAATCGTGACCAAGTTTTCATTACTATTACTTCTCAACGTCAAAGAGCTATAATTACTAGCACTTCTAAAACGTGCTCCTCAAATGCGTCTATGAGGACGCGTCTATCAAAAAAAGTATTCAATCGCCTTCTCTCATTTTTAAAAAGAAAAATGTTGCATATTCAAGGTGAATGAATTCAATTTTTGGGTTAGAAAAGCTTATGAAAGCTTAGGAAACCACAAGAAAGCTTAGGAAAAATATTTTTCCAAAAATTCTGCGGCGATGAAAAATTATTAGTACAACAACTTATTGTATGGAAAATTTGTAGGGTAAGTTTTATTAGCAAAGTCGACTAAATTAGCGCCGAAGAAAATTTGGATGAAAATTTCGGATGAAAAATTGGCGGTCAGATTTTAGAAAAGTTTTGGGATCTCTTTAACTATTGCAAAAGTAGGGATGCGGAATTGCAAAAGGGGGAGATTCGTTACTAGGTACAAAGTTCTCTTATGCTCAACCGTTGAATTAGTCTTTATAGGGTTGTGGCAATACGTAACTAGACACCAAGGGGGATAGTTTAAAAAACTCTAAGTTTTGTCCTAAACAGAACACTGACATGAGTCAGAGCCAAACAATGACCTCTAGCTGATTTTTTCACGAATGAATTCCTATAAATTGTCAATTGTTTTTAGATTTTTGAATAAGGAAGTTATAATGACATCAAACAACTTTTTTTATCCTTGTGTGCAAAATCAATTTCTACTCAAAAATTGTAAATACCGGCAGGTCTACTCTTTACAGATTCGGCTAACATAATTTTTGACTGGTTAAATCCTGCACCATAGTTTCATGGATAGAAATCTATATAAAATCAATTTAAAATCTTTTATTGTTCCGACTTTCGATACGAGAAAGAAACGGAATATTTGTGCTCGGGGTGGGTTTTTTTTCTTCAGACAAATTTCGACTTTTTAACTAGCCATTTTTGACGGAATTTTTTTTATCATTCAAAAGGTATTGTTGTCTTGAGCTTAAATTTGAAAAGATATTTCACCTGTGATTTTTTTCCGTAAATTTATGAGGGTTTAAAGATTGCCATTTTGGCCATTTTGACCAATTTGGGACAATTAACTCGCAATATATTTCGCGCTATTAACGCGTAAGCGGAGAGTTAATCCGTCTTAAAATCGTTCCAAGTTGGTTGAAAGAAGCTTATTTGCCATAATTGATTTGTTACAAGGAACGAAATCTTTATATGGCGTGTGGGGGGATGATTTTCATAAAAAATTTCAAATTTTAGAAAAAAAAATTTCATTTTATTTCATTTCATTTATTTTTTAAATGTTTTTGCCGCTGCTCCATAAAACTTAAAAGGCAATCGGAACATTCAGGGCTTCGCCTGATACGAGCTTTGCCCTGATACGAGCAGTCTTGTTATTGTCTATTATTGAATTCAACCTCTATATTTTTTTGCAAAACTATTTTCAAAATTTTCATCAAATTTGCTATGCTCCAGTATAACTCCCCCTTCCGCAAAAATAAAGTACGGAAAAGGGTGAACGTTTACGGAGAAATTGAGTGTAAGGGATTGAACTGGCTATAAAATTGAGTACTCGAATTCCAAACCTACTCAATTTTATAGCGCCAGTTCAATCCCCTACACTCAATTTCTCCGTAAACGTTCACCCTTTTCCGTATTTTATTTTTGCGGAAGGGGGAGTTATACTGGAGCATAGCAAATTTGATGAAAATTTTGAAAATAGTTTTGCAAAAAAATATAGAGGTTGAATTCAATAATAGACAATAACAAGACTGCTCGTATCCTCACCCTCTTCCGCGCTTTATTTTTGCGGAAGAGGGGAGTTATGCTGGAGGAACGACAAGGGACGACAAAGGGAGGTCAGAAAAGTAAAGAAACAAGAAATGATAATTGTTTCTTAAGCCAATACTAATCTTGTTGTTCCGACTTTCGAAACGGAATATTTGTGCTCGAGGGTTTTTTCAGACAAACTTCGACTTTTTAACTAGCCATTTTTTAATTATCATTCAAAGCTATTCTTGCCCTGAGCTTAAATTTGAAAAATTATTTCACCTGTGATCGTTTTCGTAAAGTTATTGGGGTTCAAATATTGCCAATTTGGCGCTATTAACTTGTCAGCTAGATTTCGCGCTATTAACTCGTCAGTGGATTTTCAATCCGTTCTTAGAAATCGTTCCAAATTGGTTGAAGGAAGCTTATTTGCCATAATTGATTTGTACGACGGTTGCTCTGAAAAATAGAACTAAGATGAGCATGAACTTAGAAAACGGACGAAAGTAATAATAGAATACTGTTATTTTGAATTTGCTGTTGGGGTGCAAAAGTCAATAGCTATAGTGCCTATTCTTAATTGAATTTATGAATTCAATTACTGAATATAGGGATTTATTTTAGTGCCAATAGTAATTTGCCTATTTGTCACTTCGGCCCAAGTCGAACTATAGGAAGGATTGACTCAAAAAAAGTAATAAAAAGGTCGGAAAAAGTAACAGCATTCAGGTTGCAACTGAAGTTCCTTGGGTTCAGTACCGCGTACTCAACTATTTCATAAATTAATTTTTTTAATCTTGTTTTTCTCAGAAAACTTTTTTTGATTACCATCATGCTGCAAAAACAAATTATTTTCTCTGCGATGAAACAACCTCGTTTCGGTCACCGAATAATGGTTACGTAGCAGAAACAGACATGATATTTAAAAAAAAAACACGCCATAAGACAATCAGAATTGAGAAAAAAAAACATATCTGATACGTTTGTTTTCTTATCTCGATTCTGATTGGCATGTAGGAATGGCATAGGGTATGTTTTTTTGGAAGTAGGAAACGGCAAAGGCTAGCTTCCAATTTAAGGGCTCAATAGTAGAAATAACATGGACTAAAAACATTACGAGGCCAAACTGTGCATTCTGTGCATTGTAAGCGGATTCCGCGACAGGCCCAAATCAGATTTGTCGTGGAATCCTCAATTTTGCTACATTATTTTAATCTTCTTTGCTGTTTTGGATTCCACAAACAAATACCTAAAACACGGTACCGTTTAAAAATGCTCCAAAAACAGGCGAATTTGCGGAATCCGCAACCGTATTTGCGGAATCCAGAACAGTTGTGGAATCCATAAACAAATAATGAGACATGTGTATAGCTGAATTGAGTTGTAGTAGAATCCGCAACTGTAAGCGGAATCCGCAAACTGTAAGTGGAATCCGCAAAATGTGAGTGAAATCTGCAAACTGTAAGTGGAAACAGCGTTTTGTTTGCGGATTCCGTTTACATATATGTATGTGTAGTAGCGTTTAAAATTATATCTTTTAATCACACCGTTGATCAGCTTCCAGTTGGAATGCTAAACATTTGATCTCAATTATCTCATTCGATCT